TGGTTATTTCGTTGTTATACCATTAGCTTGGCCCTGAGAGTTTAAACAAGCTATAATGGCTTTATCTATTGAATGAGATAAGGAAGCTATTTGGTCACAAACACATGCAGTGATGGTTTGAAACATGATAAAATCCCCTTCAGTGCCAAGATCATTCACCAGGCACGTCCAAGCAAGACAAACTAATTCCTGTCTGACTTAATCTCGATTTTACTTAAGCCCCAGAACACTGAACATTCAGTTTCATCAGCGAACACTTTCAACGATGGAGACCGTAAAACCTCGAGGTAACACTTTCTTGACTGTTGCCGTGATTGTGAATATTTTATTTAGTCTTGTTTCCATCGGATGCCTCATTTATAAAATAAGAGTATTAGAAGAGCAAGTTTCTCAGTGTAAGAGTGGCTCGTTAAGAGAATATCAACCTGAATCCGGGGAATACCGAGATGAAACTTACCGACGAAAAAGGTCTGTTGGATCCCTCGGAAGATCGAAAAGCTGCAGCAGTTGCCACAGTGCTTGTGTCCAATTATTTGGACTGGGAGCCTCTGCAAAGGTAGATGTATCTGAAATATATCATATGTATGGATGCATTTAATTTTTAATCATTTTATCTAATCTGATAGTGTAAAGACTAAACCGTTAACTCCAGGTAAACAAAATTAATCTTATCATGCTATAACACTAGACAGTGTTTGCAGTCTGATCAGTTGTCAGAGTTGTAGGATTAACTTCAGTGGAGCTGTGAGTCTGTTCGCCCGAGGGAGTATGATTTCATCACTCAGTCGAGAACTAAAAACAGACTAAATAGTCGATCAATTTAGTGGGAACATGCCCGGTAAAAGACCAATCATATGCCAAATTACTTTCTTCTAGATAGAGAAGAATTTAAGCCTTCCCCGTTTAAGACGTCAGTTTTTGCTCTAGATTTCTTCATATTTCTGTTTTCCTTATCTAGGTCACAACGAAGATTATCAATGGCACAGATCAAGACGTCNGGGTTAACTTCAGTGGAGCTGTGAGTCTGTTCGCCCGAGGGAGTATGATTTCATCACTCAGTCGAGAACTAAAAAAGATTAAATAGTCGATCAATTTAGTGGGAACTTGCCCAGTAAATGACCAATCATATGCCAAATTACTTTCTTCTAGATAGAAAAGAATTTAAGCCTTCCTCGTTTAAGACGTCAGTTTTTGCTCTAGATTTCTTCATATTTCTGTTTTCCTTATCTAGGTCACAACGAAGATTATCAATGGCACAGATCAAGACGTCATCTGTATGAGAGGTTAGTCAGGACACTATCACGACCATTTTGTTCCATTTGAGAAGAAAACAGTGCTAAAATGTTTGCAAAGTAACTTAGCTTGTACACAGATTGCTTCTTAAACAATAAGACAAAGATATTAAGTGACCCCTTGAAGGGAGACCAAATAGCGATGACTGTTCTATCGATTTTTCTAAGACATGACGACAGAATTTGGAGAAGTCTTCCAGCCTTTTTGAATTTCAAATCATAACCATAAACACGACTAACTCTTCCTTTTATAGCTTCAGGTCTTTTCATG